GCAGCTGAGGGAACTGGAGCTATTTAGTCTTGAGAAAAGGTGGCTGAGGGGGGACCTTATTGTATTGCTCTCTACAACTACCTGAGAGGACACTGTAGAGAGGTAGGTGCTGGTCTCTTCTCACAGGTAATTAATGATAGAACAAGAGGGAACAGACTCAAGCTGCACCAGGGTAGGTTTAGGCTAGACATTAGGAAAAATTTTTCACTGAAAGCGTTGTCAGGCATTGGAATAGGCTGCCCAGGGAGGTGGTTGAGTCACCATCCCTTAATGTGTTTAAAGGTCGTTTAGATGTGGTGCTTGGCGATATGGTTTAGGGGTGTACTTGGTAGAGTAGGGCTGATGGTTGGACTCAGCGATCTTAAAGGTCTTTTCCAACCTGAATGATTCTATGACTCGATGATCACCATTCAGTGAGGGAGGCTGCTTGGAGTGTGCCTGATGTTAATAGGTGCTGTCAAAGTTATTCTGAAGATGGTGACTGGGTTTGATGGGGCTCCCCTTTGAACCAGCTCGTCTTAGATATTGTAGTGGCATTAACTAGGTTTCTGAAAAAACGGAAGAAAAAAGCCAATTCATATTCCAGCAGAATGGTTTAACAGAGGCTAATGCTGATATCCTGTCATGAGGGCTGATACGATGGAAAACAGTGTGGGTTCACCAACTGATGGTGTGACAGACAGCACGTTTTTCGGTTTTCAGTGGAGCAAGTGCAAAATTGCAAAAACAGATACAAATGACTGGAGCCATGAAAATCAAAGCTGCTACTTAAGATATATGTTGTAAATAGCTTTAGCACTTAATGTAGCCAGCGCTAGCTACTGCTGGAAAAGGGGACGGAATGACATCTAGTGATTGGTGCCGCTTTGTCACTGCCATGCACCCTTTCTCCTGGTCACCTTCCTTATTCTGGAGACTAGGCAGGGTGGCAGCCCCTGTCACTGGAGAATGTCATGATGCAGAGCTAGTTCTCTAGTATTGGTACTAGCAGTTGGACGTGGCACAGAGCAGCTATCCCACATGCCACTCTGTCTCATTGAGTTACAGAAGACAAATACGCCATAGGAGATCTCAGTCAAGTAAGTTACAAAGTACTCACACCGTCAAAAATAGCTCTTTAATGAAGACAAGTTTCAGATAGCCAAAGATTTTGAATATTAAGCAAGTGTTATTTTGGAAGAGTGCATTCAGACTTGCTCCGTCTTTGCAATCTGTGACATGGCTGTATAAAGTCCCTGCAAAATAGGCACTTTCCCTTTTATTTTATTCTACAGGTGTAGAATTAGCTTTTACATGGATAGTATTTGATAGCATCAGAAAGCCTGCCTTAAGAGGTGCAAAGATGATACAAGATAGACCAGGACAAGAGTATGGCATTCTTAAGAGAGGAAGAAAAGTTGTCAGGAAGACAGCAAAGGCTTTAGCATTCAGAGAAATACAAGCAATGCGTAGAAAAGCTGAAAGTTTGGGAGTTGTTTTTCTTTGCATTAAAAAATAAATCTGACATGAATGATATTGAAAGAGGAGAATATGTTCATATGATAGAAATGTGTTATTCAAGAGGAGGATGTGTGAAAAAGAACAGTGCAAAAAAATGCTGGCTGGTGTGCTGTGCATGGATCTTTTAGGGGAGTAAAACAGCATAAGCTGCAAACCTCTGAATGTTTTGGAGAGTATTTGAAGCTCTTTCTCTCCCTCTTGGCTTTCGTAACTGTGTGCTATCAAATTGCTGCTGCATGCCAAGGAACTGGTACTGATGAGGATCAATTTTATGTAAATTGTTTGGGAATGAGGGGAGGCACATTTTGTCATTCCTCAGATATCCCGTGGGATAACCTTGGAATCACTGTAAAATATCTTCACTTTAAAAATATCACTGTTGTAGAGTCCAAAGTATATTTTCTGGTTTTATTCCCAAATCGAAACATTTTTGAGGAAAAATTGCAAGTCAGTTAGCAAAGGTTTCGCATTGGCTTTCAGTTACAGGCAAGGGGGTGGGGTGGGAATTGGTGGTGGTATTTGTCTGCCAACTGCTGTTTAGCTGTGTATGATGAAGATGATGACACAGCTTTGACTGCTTCATCTTCGCTGAATACTGAAGGTTGAATAATTTTAATTGGGAGGAAAAAGCAAACACATTGACTATTTAGAGCAGAATATTATACTTGTCTCTGTTTTTTGACAGTTCAAACTGTCAAAATGTTCCACTCTTGCAACTGTACCCATCTCGTTCCCAGAGCTCTCCTGCCTTTCACCAAAATAAAGAGAAGTAAAACAGTAAAAAAAAAAAAACCCAACAAAAAAAACCACAAACGCACAACTGCAGTTCAAAAAGTATCAAACTTTTGATTTTATTCTTGAAATAAACTTTTTGTCATTTAAATTAGTGCTTATTGTTCCTAACATACACTTAGGCTGGGTAGGTTGCTCGTGCAAGTGCATGGAAGAATTACTTGCGGAAATGAGAAACACATGAGCCCAGCATGTTACATAAATCTTTGAACTATGTGGAGAGACTGGCTTTTTTTATCATCACAGTGCTAAAGGCAGTAACATCTCAGCCACTGGAATGTCAGTGACATGGCCAGACACCTTTCTTGTTTTTCCTGGATCACTCCTTCTTCAGACCTCTGCTATTTTTCTTATTGGGCAGAATATAGACTCTAGGGTGGCATTTGTCATTTACTTCAGCAGCTAATCTTGGTGCCATTTCTAATATAAGCTACGGCTAATTGCACGTGTTTTGTCTTCACAGCAATTTCCGATTCTTGATGATTGCTTTAGCCTATGCTATACCACTGGGTGTTTTCTCTGGCTGGTCCGGTGTTCTGGATTTGATATTAACACCAGTTCATGTAAGCCAAGTAAGTATCTCCTGACTGATAATCAGCAGCTATTTTGTAAGTAGCATGTTTTTATTTTGCACTAGCATACCATTTTTTCAGGTTCATATGTTTAAGCTGCTTTTAATACATAGGGACACCTTTTCTCCTGAAATAAACTGTGGCTTTGGCATCCCAAACTGTCACGATTCTCCCTACTGACTCTCTGTCAGCAGTGGATATTTCCAGAACCGTACACACCTTTTGACAAGGAAGAAGCAGGTAACCAAACAGGAGTATTGTTGGCTGCTGCACCTTCAGTAAAAGAAAATCATGTTTACCAGGTAGAAAAATGACCTGGAGAGAAGAAAGTTTCTAAGCTTTTGATACAGTATTATAAAAATCCAGAGGACTTTGCTCATTCTATAAAGAGAGGTCACATTTAGGGCATAGGCTACTTAGTCATACTTTCTTTTAGTGAATTTATTTCCTTTTGGATATCCTAGAAAAAGTCTTGCAATTCAGATTGTTGTCAGGGGCTCTTGCTAGCAGTTTGCAGCACCTGCACACCATTTGTTGTGAAAGTAACATCTTATCATCTTATTTTCTCAGCTTTAATGTATTTCTCTGTTTTGTTTTGTTTTGTTTTTTTCCTGTCAGGTAGATGCAGGCTGGATTGGATTTTGGTCTATAGTTGGAGGTTGTGTGGTTGGCATAGCAATGGCAAGGTAGGAATAATTACAGGTTTTTCTCCATTTCTTCAACTGTGACTGTCATTTATTCTGTTAATAATGTAACTTGTTTTCTCTCATCTTCTATAAACTTGAAAAGGAAGATGCATTCTGGGGTTATGATGCGTTTCTTGTAGAGCAATAATGTGTATATTCCACGGTAGTGGTTGCTGGGCGTTGAGAACTCGTGTGTGTATACCTCAGTTTGGCAAGTCGAGTGCTTCCTGTGTGCTCCTTTTAAACACAGTTCTTGTGAATTCAGCTGCCCGATATGAGGGAGAACCTGTTGTAGCACATTTGGAAAGCAGTGAAGAAATTACTGTCTGTCTCCTTCAGTCAGCACTTTGGGGCATACTGATTCCTGAAGGGATATTGGGAATGTAGCGCAGGCAGCCTACCCACAGTTCCTCCACAGAGAAATTCGTCTGGGCCCATTTTGGCCAGGTTACTAGACTCCTATATGGCCTAACTATTTTTTTGCTGTACTGCTGTGGTTGTACCTGTGCTTTTTATATTTCCAAACTCTGGCCACCATGAATGCTGATGACACGGGGAGTGGAAAAGCAAGAAATGGATTGCCCTTCCAAAAGTCTGTTGCTTTTTCTTCATTGAGATGCCCTTTAAAAAAAAAGGGTGGGAGAGGGAGAAAAAGTCTTTCAGGAGGTACTTAAGCAGTGAGTTTATAAATGTAATTAAAAGCCATCGCATGTTCCCGTTGCATGGGGATATCTAAGCATCGTCCTGGCTCCTCCATATCTACTCTTAGACTCCAGTTCTGGACTGTGTTTAGCACAAGTGCAGGGGTCTGTCGTCGTTACAGTTATTGTGGGATTGTAGACCCGGAGAGGCATCTTTTTAGGACAGAAATTTAAGCTTTTTTTTTTTTTTTTTCCACTTGCTGTGCATCATCAGAGTACACAATGCATAAAGAAATGTGAGGTTTCTCATCCTGACATTCTGCAGGCTGCCTAGCAACTGCGATGGAGGGAGAGGAAAAAAACTCCTGACCTAAGGAAAAGAATCAAGCACTTCTCTCCCGTCCGCTCCAGATGCAGGCCAAAGGACTTAATCTGTTGAAACAAAGTTCGCATCTTGATTCCTCTAAAAAGAGTTGCTTTTGATTAGCTAAGTTCAGGTACGAGGTTTTCTCTCTTAAGACAGGTAGATGTTTAAAAGCAGCTGCTGTAAATGGCACAGATGCTGGAGCAGGTTACATGCTGAAGTAGGTGGTGTGCCAGTTTAATCTTTTCCATCATGAGTTAACCTCTGGTATATTTGCAACCTTTCAGTAGTAGAGGGGGCACCCTTCGCAGCTCACTTAACTTTGCTAGGAGAGAATCTGCTGACTCAGTGCCAACATGCAAATCTCAGTCTTTATGGTAGATTAATTTATTTAATATATTGCCTGGGTTAAGTTTCAGGAAATGCTGACAGTCTCTTTAACTGCTTCAAAATTGATTTCAGGCCTTGTTGACTGCCAGTATTTTGTAGCATTCAGAGCTTTGCTTTTGAGTGAATTAAAAAAATACCAACAGTCTGTCTCCAAATATGTCTTTCTAACTTGGGCGATACACAGTTCAAATGGGAGGGTTTGCATACAGAAAGGGAGGGAGGAGGTGATTTGTCACTCCTGATGGATGACTCTCTCTCCTAGGCCTATTCAGCATTTATCTGTATAGAGTTGAATCAATGACGAGTCTGACTGTAATCTGCTGAAAGTTGTAATTAGGAAAATTAAGTAATGATTCTTGTCAAGGCTGACAAGTTGATGTATTTCAGTGTCAGAACTGTGATTTGCCAAGCAAGCAGCTCTCTTTCTTAAGCACCTCTCAAGAAGCTGTTGATTTTGGGGGGTGTGTGTGTCCCCCTTTTTTTTTTTTTCCTGCTAATTTATCAAAGCAAAACTGTAGCAGTTTAGGAATTTGCTCCTTCCGTTTTTGACAATGCAGATTCTATCGTTTAGAACTGTAATAACACGAGTCTTGCCCTGGAACATTTGGTCCTGCACATCACTGTAGGTGTTAAATCATCTACGTTTAAAGTAATGCCCAGTTTGGAAATTTGTTTATCTATCTCCTTTTCAAAATGGTGCAAGTTTTCCTCAGCACAATACGTAAATCCTCCTGCTCTCCAACCACTGCTGTCCTGGTAGCCGTGGACTTAGATATGTTTAACTAATTTGTGTGATGCGTTTTTATAATTGAAAAGCCTGGGCTATTTTGGGCAGCTGGCAGGTGCTGTACATTTTGCTGGCAGCTTCAAATGATATTGGTTTGAAGAAAAGCAGTGTCAAAGAGCAACATTCATATCATTGCATGGAAACATAAATCTATTCCCTTTTCTCAGATTATTTTTTTTTCCATGTTTGCTAATGATCATAGATATTTCTGAGGTTTTGTCCTCCACAGCTCTGCTTTTAACCTGCAGTGTAGTCAAAATGCTGAAACTTTACGACGTGGTGATAATTTCCCTAGCAACAGACAGTGTTGTCAGCAGCACAGGTTTGTGATTTGAACTGTAGCATCCAGCCTAGGGCTGGATTTGCTGCGTTGCGGGAGGCTGGTACCAGCAGTAGGCTCAGAGGTCTTTGGATAAGTATATAGCTTCTCTCCTGGTGTGCCTACTTTTTTAGCAGCTACAGATGACATCTCTTTACATGCCAGATGATGAAGAAGGATTTAAACAGAACGGAGGGTTTTGAAAGCATCTACTGGGGTCAGAGGATAAAAATAATTTTTCTCATTTTTTGATTGACACAAATATTCTGAAGTGTTGAGTAGATTTAGAATCTTCTTTATTCTTTTGTAAGCTAGACAAGAAACAGAAGTCCCTCAATTACAGAGTTCAGGCTAGTTTGCTATGTCATTTTTTCCCATTATTTCTGTTGCTGGCTGAATTCAGTAGCGGCATAAACCTTTAAGTCTGTATTTGACCCTTCTGGAGTCCTGTGATAGCCGAGAGCTCCTTGGAGCACACTGCTACCACTGAATACTCAAACCAGGGTCTTTGTGTCAAAAAGAGTTGCAGCTGCTCAGTAAAGATAGATATTTGCTCCACTTCACTGTCTCAAATGGTTTAGTTGCATGTCATCCTCCCATCCCCACATACCTCTGGTGATAGGGTAGAGCTAGAGGACCCCCTAGAGATCCCTTCCAGACCTGTTGTCTGTGAATGTCCCTTCCTGAAGGCTGATCTTTCTCACAGTGTTTCATTAGGTGGGATATACTTAACTGGCCTTGTCTGTAAGGAGGGGGAATAGTGATGTTGTCTGCCAACAAGCAAAGCAGGGAGTCTCTGTGGAAGAAGCCGAAAGTCTGCACTTTGAGATGCTTCTGTGAAGCTTTTAAAATTGCTGATTTTGACCCCCGTGATCCCAAAGAATAATTAAAGAAACTGGCAAACCACTGAGAAGAGGTGATCCTGATTGCTGGATTTGGATTGTCAGAAAAAACAACAGTAGCAGCTAACCTCTGACTGTTTAGATTAATGCTTAAGCCACTTGAACACTGCAGTCATAAACTTTTAAGATTATATGCAGCATTGATCTACCGCTACTGCATATTGAATTATTTGCTGCTAAATTCAATATGGAATTAAAGCACAGGGAGAATCAAAATAAGTAGTGGGGGGTTTTGGCTTGGGTTTTGGGGGTTTTTTTTGATTGCATTACCCTTAACATCTCTTCAGTATGTGTGGTGCCGAGGTTCCCAGTTCTCAAAATGTTGGTAGTGTTATCTGTTTTATCAAGTAAGCTATAAGGTATCTACCTGTAAAAAGATCTTTGTCAGGGCAGAGAAGGCAGTTAGCTGACAGACGGACAGATTTCATAATAGACCAACCTAGATGAATTGTGCTGCTCTTAGCCTAATCGAGGTAGGAGGCTATGAGGGCAGAAGACATTCTTGAGACATACATACCTAACTAGTCTGGCCTGAAATCACATCTCCTAAGCAGGAGATTACAGAAAATTACTAGTGGATAGATGACATTGCCTTTTCTAATGTAACTTTTTAGTAGCTGTGTTGAAATCCGTTTTGAAAAGAGCAGTTGCACTGATAATTATGCCATGTGAGCACTGCTCAAATGCATTCTGTCTCCTTGAAAGAAAAAGGAAAAAGGATGAAAAAAGCAATTGTACCATCAGGTGGTATAGAGATCGTATTTCCCTCTGTATAACAGCCAGACTGCCCAAGGACTCGTGGGTCTGTCTTCCCCCAGACTGTCAGTGGGGGCATGTAGGAGAGGATGGCACCAAGCTCTTGGTTTCTGGAACGTTTCAACCCAAAACAGCCACCGGTAGAGTGACCACCTATGTAGAGTTCTTGCTTTGCCTAAGCCACCAAGAGCTTCATCACCAATGCATCCGAGGGTTCAGAAGCTGTTCCTTGTCATCTTCGATCTAGGGATTCTGGTATTTGGAGTGTTGTCGTTTCCCACAGGAATGAATCTTGACACTTAACTATGTCTTGAATGAAATGCAGCAGCTCCTCATATGCTAATTGAGTGGTGTGTCTGCCAAGGGAGACTGGCAAATGCTGACAAAACGGCGATGTAAGTAGTGGTGTGATGTTGTGTCCAACAAATGCAGAAGTAAAAAAAAAAAAAAAAAAACAAAACCCTTCCTGTATACCAAGTGTTTTCAATTGATGCCTTGAGAATTGTTCTGGTTTGGTTTTTAATTTTGTGACAGCTAAAAATTCCGTGGCTCTTCAGCTTGACAGCTAGGAATACCATTCTATAAAACTGCCTTTTTTGTATTTCTGAAAATGAGAAACGATTTTTAAATTGTTTTTATAGTCTCCAGAATGTTTAATGAGAATCTACTGAATTAATTGTCAAGCATCACATTTAAATAATGTGAAAATCAGCATTTGTACTGCTCTGATCTGTGCTTTTATTTTAGATTTGCAGATTTTATCAGGGGCATGCTGAAGTTTATACTGCTGCTGCTTTTATCTGGAGCAACGTTAGCATCAACCTGGTTCACTCTCACCTGTCTAACTAGTGTCACTCATCTGCCTTTAACCACAGGTATCGACAATGATTGTAATTCCTATTATTTATAATCAGTATTGTAGGCAAATATTTGCAGTCTTAAATCAACTGTAGTATAACATGGTTTGGTATATTTAGTAATAACGTAGTTTTACCAAGACAAAAAAAAAAAAAAAAAGGTTTAGAAAACCCATTGAATCTGAAATATTTTTACCAGCTTTGAATAACTCCATAAAAAGATGAAAAACTAACAAAACCCAATAGTAAGAACCCAGAACATACATATAAAATTGATTTGGGGACTGAGTCTTTTTCTGATTCGAGTGTTTTGGAATAACAGAGGTGAGACATAAACCAAGAAGAATCAGATGAATGGCAGTAGCATTGTGTGTAAGAAACAGTGACATGTCTCGGAATTTAGGGTTTTGAAACTTACCTTAATTATTGGAGACACATAGTGCGGTTCAAACCAAGGTGACCCATAGTGTTTTCAGCCATCTAAATCTATCCTTGCACTGTGCTGTCCTCTTTTTTGCACCTGCATGCAGGTTCAGGGAACTCTTCCAGCCCAAAATTAACTCAGCCTGCATCTCAAAACGACAGGAAAAAAGCTGTTGGCAGGAGTGGGGAGACAAAGCTCAGAGGTCTACTCAAGCTGCCAGTGAGCTATACCCTTAGTTGAAAATTAGCACTGCTTAGTTTAAAAATCTCTCCTTCACCTTGCTGTCTGCACAAATTCCACCTGTGATTTCTTCAACAGAGTAATGAGTTACAGTAAAACTAAGCCATTGAGATATTTAAAAATACATATTTATTAAAGAATTCTGTAAACCCATTTTACATGAAGTGCCATCTTTGTTAGAGGCAAGCTTATGCCTTATAGGAGAACTGAAGATTGGTTTTTTCCCATTTTTTAGTAAAGAGTTTGGTGTGGAGAGTAGTGAATAAAATATTGTTTTACTCAAATTAACTTTGAGTTTCAGTAAGTGTCCTTGGTGCATTTCATATGTCACAACTATAAACTAAAGTGGGTACAGCAAATTGAAATACATGATCAATTCAGGAGAAACACCATCTGGATGGATAGGTCAAATTTGTGATTTATCTTGAAATGTCAACTTTTTAAAAAAAATTCTGCTTAAATAAAACGTAATTTAATCAATAAACAAATCAAATTTCATGGTGGCTATCGTCATGCCAAATGACTACACTCTTCCATCAAAACTAAAATAAGTGCAATAAAAGCTTATTTCTTGTGCTTGCCTGCCTCATCACTACAAGCCTGCAGTAATGTGAATTTTTACACTAACTCTATCCTCTGAATTGATGCAACCAGCCAAACACATAAACTTCCCTTCAAGTCTATGCATAAGAATGAAGCAGAGACGTTTCAAGAAGTGAAAGGCATTATGTGTGTACTCGCCAGTGATCCAAAACAAAAGTGATGGAGCTCTGTCTCTCATTGCATTTTTTTGTCAAGAACGAGGCATGCAACATAGGTTCTAGAAGAATTCCTGCTTGTTTATCGCATCTGGGTGCATTATGGTGGTTTGTTTGGAAAGGTGAACCACTGTCAGGTATGTAAGGTATTTGGGGTTTGATATAAAGTATCCTAAATTAGCATCCCTTGATAAAAATCTATGGATTGGGTTGTTCAGTTACTGGTTCTTTTTAAATAGATGATTCCTTAGGCTGAGTTGTAAATTATATTTTAGCATTTTCTGTGCTGTTCTTATATGTGTCACTGTAAATGTTGAACTCTTTTCTATAGAACACAAGTTTGTTTTGAATAGAAATGCCAGCAATATGGTGCATTCCTCAAAAAAAGGCAAACTAAATGTTTAAACTTCATAGATAGGCAGGGAGGGAGGTTCAAATCAGCTCTTTCTCGTTAAAGTTGATATAAAATAGATGTAATGTGCCTGTTCAATTTAGAACCTTGTACACAGAAAAGCAGTGGTATATCTTTATGAAATATGCTGTTATGGATGAAAACACAAGCTATTTAGGCTAATTTATAGGACTTCATGCTAGATAATTTCTCGATGTAATGATGGAATGTGATGACCTCTGCATTCCACAGTAATTGGGAGAAACAGTACATTTGAATTGATTTGGGCAAACCTTTTTTTTCTTCTTTTAATTAAAAATTCGAGATGTAGAGAATATCAGAGTATAACGGTAGGAGGTCAAATGCAGGCTGTTGGCTGGCCGCTTTGGAAAGTGGTTTGCAGTAGCAGGTTAAGGTGGAAGCCACTCTGCATACTGGACCAGTGTTGACAGTGGACTTTCAGGTAGTTATCCTCTGTGTGTTTTTGTAGGGCTGGAAGATGTGCAAAACCAAAGCAGCTATTATTGTGGGGTTGTTTCCTTTTTTCCTTTTCCTTTTCTCTTCCTTTCTTCCTCTCTTCCTTTCCTTTCTTCCTCTCTTCCTTTCCTTTCTTCCTCTCTTCCTTTCCTTTCTTCCTCTCTTCCTTTCCTTTTGAAGAAGCCCATGTAATGCTTTGTATCCCAGAGCTACTTTGCAGGCATCACTGAACACCAGTTACTGAACACTGAACGTTTGTGTTGCTGAGGACAACAAGGTTTGATATTGCCAGAAGGTTAATAGGCTCCTTGGCTTCTTCCTGTCCTGTGGCAAAGAGCACAAGTGTTAGGCTTGGTGGTGCTACAGAGCCAGTGATTGATCTTGGTCCACACGTTCAGCCTTACTCAAATGCTGAGGCAGAGCAAGCAGGGTTCAAAACTGACTGTTAAGGAGACTTGTGAGGGTGTGCATTTGATCTTGCAAGGAGGCTTTCCCTCCCAACCAACTCACTATTTTGTGAGGGGCTTCCCCTCTCCTCTCTTGCCCTGCCTCCAGTGTGGTTCTCTTGAGCAGGTCAGATGTCACCCTACAAAACCTCAAGCGTTGCTGTCTTCAGCAATACCTGGAAACTGCTAAGACATCCTGATGGACTGCTGGTACACTTCAAAAGGAGCTCTTCCATGGGACAGGACAGTCATTTTGATTCAGAAGCAAGACATCTCTTGGGAGGCTTTGTACTGGCCCGGGGGTTAAGGCAGGCTTCACGCTAGAGATGAAGGCTGGTTAGAGAATATCATCATCTGCATCATCTCACCTGGCAGCTGCTTGATCCGCAAATAAAGTTTGCAACCATAGGTAGATCTTGCCAGTGGTTTCCCCAGGTCCAAAAATAGTCTTTTCCTTTAGCATATGGATATCGTGTCGCATACCTGCTCCTTCCCCTCTTCTGAAAACCCTCTGCCTGTCCCTCACCTGATCTCCAGAAGAAGCACTCAGGTGGGAACATTTGCATGCCAGCAGGCTTTTGAAGTGCTAAAAAGATGAGAGAGTTTGGCCAATTATTCACCCTAAAGGAAAGGGAAGAAAATCTCTAAAGACTTGTCTTTAAAATACAAACAAACAACCTCCGTCTTTTAATCAGTATTCTTTGTAGCCGTTGTAGTTATGTCTGGTTTAAATATTGGGGGAGGAATTGTATTTGAAAAAATGGTCACAGCAAAATGTTTTTTCTTGCCCTTGTTTGTGTAATATTCTCCTAATGCCTTGTAAATAGGCACGACATCATCTAAAGATATTTCCTACAGAATGTAATTACTTAGAATGAGGACCTTTAATGCAGATATTAAAAATCAATGCCTGCTTTGTGTTTTCTTTAAATGATGCTGTTTAGCATTGTTTGTATTGTGTAATGCCTGCATTGCTTTGCATTATCATCATATGCTCCGTTTTTCCTCCTGCCGCAGAGCAAGGCAAGTTTTCTGTCACTTCCTCACTTCTTAATATATATCCAAAAGACTTTATAGAAAGTGTATTTGGGGTCATGTGTATGAACTGTAACTGCTAGTGTGGGGAAAAAAAAATAAAGCAAGGCAATAATGATACAGTGCCATCATAGCTACTATATCATCTAAAACACCTCTCATCAGCTAATCACAGCTCTTAACCCGTGATTCTGGAATCGGTTTACATTTTAAGCAAGCTTGAATTTTCTTTTAAGAAATTTTAATTTTAATGTGTATTATTTGCATTTTTCAGCAAGTTTCAAAGACAATTTTATGTACACATTGAGCATTAAAATAGTTTTCTCCATTGAATTCCCAATGCAGCTGCTGATCTGTTTCTCTGTGCCAAGTCCATTGTTAGTTTGCTTTGTACTGAACTTCATTATGTGAATTTATGTACAATGGGATGCTCTGACCCAAAATAATTGTGTAAGGTATTGTAATGCCAGTTTCAGTATCTTGCTGCTTTGTATTGCTGGTAGTATCTCTGGATACAAATACTAGCATTTTCCAAAAATTGATATGCAACACCAGTTGCTTGCGGCTCAGCTTGAATGTTTTCAGCATAGCACATCAAGAATATTCTAATATTTATGAGCACATTCAGCAGAATTTTGCTTTACAAACTCTTTTCTAGTGCTGCATGGCAGATAGCCGAATATGATGGCAACTCCATGAGCTGATGACTATATTTAGGTTAAGCAGTCTAGATGTTATTTTCAGGTTCAACAGATTGAACATTATAAACACATCTGTCTCCCTGTCCTCATCTACGAAGCACAGTATTGAAAAAGGAAGGTGTTAATTATTTAATACTGATGGTTTTATTCTTTGAGTTTAATTTCTTCACTTTAAACAAGGTGTGTTTGATACAAGGATAAGGCAGGGGGACCCAGAGGATAAAGCAGTGGCCTGAAAACATTTATTTTTCTAGCTTCAGCATGAACCTGCTTGTGGCTGTGGGTAAATCATTACCCCCACTCCTGTTGTGCTTTTCTCACTCATAGGATGGGATAATGACCTTTGTCTTCCTGAAGGCTTCTGTAAATCCACATATAGAAGAGTGCTTAAAGAACTAATTTAAGGGGTTTATTTAAAATCAGTTTAAAACCCCAATCCTAAGTAGTGTACAGTGCTTGAAATTTGGGAGGAGCATTTCAGGCATGAATATCTATAAATCTGGCCACTTTAAATATCCAGGCCTACCCCCTGGTTTGTTTTATTTTGAGGCTTACCAGTGTTTTCTTTACTCTTTAGTTCTCCAAAGTGAATACTCTGCTTTCAAAGTGAGTTCCACCTGCTTTTCACTTGGGAAGTCTATAGAACAAATCCGATTTGATCAGATTTTTGGTTACTTTCATAACTATATCATGAGATAAGAATTTGATCAGCGTGTGCTGGAATGGAAATCCAGGCAATGAAACATATTGATGTTATAAACGTGCACTACAGGGACATCCTTCTTCTATTGTGTTTTTTGTTCATATAAATGAATTACAGTAAAAATTACTGTCTTGTCTTGAGGCAGTCACATTTCTCATGGAAAAAATTAAGGGGGACTTCTTCCATGACTGTTCTTACCATGGCCAGTAACAAGAATTAAATTATAGGGAAATTTCATTCCACTTTAACAGACTTCAGAGAGTTTGGTAGGGACTGACTTTGAATTGTTCAGGTCATTCGTAGGCATACTAAAGTCAACAAAGCGTCCATCCACATGAGGCATTATCCTTTCATTTTGACATTTGGGTTACTGTTATAATAAGCAATAACAAAGTGCCCTGGATCTCTGTAGGTTTTGCTTTAAATTTTCTGTGGCACCTAAGATAACATATTCAGTTGTATTTACTTTCCTGTTTACCCATCTGAAATGTGTGAGTCTTGGCTCAGTTTGTCTGAGAAGAGAACTGTTAGAAAATGTACAGAGTTCAGGAGTTTCTGGCAGAGAACTTTGGAAGAAGATACTGTACCACCTGCTTGCACTTGATACTGCTTTAGAGTATCTGCATTTCCTTTGTAAATTTATCTGCAAAATACTTTTTTCTATTTTATTTTTAAAGAACTGGTACTATTTCATATTCTTTGTTAATGAATTTTAACAAGGTGTACGTGCCAATGGGTTGATAAGAACTATTTACATCGGTGGAGGTCCTTCCATTAATTTCATTTGGATTTGGATCAGGCTCTATAGTTTTACATTTAGGGATGGTATAATTTAAGAGTAAATTGCTAAACATGTTGCAGAATGTGACATGATGAAGCCTAGCTTGAGCCGCCTGCTGCGGCAGCTCCAGGCCAATTCTCTGAAGCAGCTGTGCTTCAGACGGGTGTTTTGCGTTTCCTGATCTTTTTGCAGTGGCCAACCTGAGAAATAGCTGCTTAATTCACACAGACATCTTTAAGACACGACATTAATCAAAATACTTTCAAGAAACCCCGCCCAGTGCCATTATTTATTGATGTCCACAGCTGCCGCTGCCTTGGGTACACAACTTTGCTCATAGCCTCATAGGCAGTTAATGTTAAAAGTTAAAGTTAATAAACCTTAGAAAAAGTGTTTCTTTATACTAATAGCATGACATGCTTCCCCAATGTATGCCTATCCAAGCTAGTTGTCCTTGTGAGGCTTTAGGACATAATATCAGCTTCTTGGTAAATCATTTCTTTCTTTTTTTTTTTTTTTTGATGTGTTTTTTGGGTGGGTTTTTTGGAGTGTTTTGTTGGGGTTTTTTTGTCAGCGCTTTCATACCCTTATGTTGATTTCCAATGACTGTCATCAAGATTGTCTTAATTGAAAAAAACAGTCACTGTAACTTTAGCAGCTGTTCTTCTACAGTACAAAATCATGGTAATTGTTTGTATTCATTCAATGCAAGGTCTCTAATGGAAAGTAAATGGTCTCCTTTAATAGGTGCTGTTCTCCCTGTTGCAATATCTTGTTGCCCGTGAGCTGGAATATGAGGTGTGCTATTTAGTGTGTGAAATAAAAGGCAAAAAACAGTTTGGAACTCTTACTCAACTTATTCCTATAACTTTTTGCTGAAACTGCGTATCTTATCTTTGACTTTCTGTCTAGTTGACCAATTGGATTTGTGACTTAATTGCCAAGTTAATGGAATAAGCTTCTTTGTGTAGCACTCAGAAAGACCTGGATGATTTACAGAAACATGAAATAAAAAGTATTTTCCCATCACTACAATATGTACCCGTTAAGGGACATCTCCTTCACTTTCCAAGTGTCTTTTTGTGGTTTACCAGTTAAAAGCTATCATTTCCGCTAGATCTTAGAACTTAAATTGACATCTACTGGACGCAATATTCTGCCTGTCCTTTTACCTTGACATTTCTGCTTATTAGTTTCCAAATATATGTGTACATATAGATAGACCTTGTTTTATAAGCATTACCTGTGATTTCAGATGAGGTGTTGTCATTGGTATTCAGCTGGCAGCTTTCAGTGTGCACACATGAGGCAGGTAATACTTTGGAGAAAACCAAAAGTTAATGCTAAAGCTGCTTTGCTTAGGGTAGTATGGAAGTGAGGTGTGTGCCAGTGGGTGTATTTGCGTGACTGAAGCAAGCTGTTGTGACAAGGAGATGTAAGGGTGTAGTTTCTAAAGTACAGAGTTATTGCACTTGTTTGCTTACGGTCTGGTCTTCCTGATACATTTTAGAAGTGATGAGCAATGGTGTAACTCAACTAGCATATTTTAAGGTATCAGATTTATTTTGAAGGCTTTTATTTGTTTTATGGAAACTTTGATACCTACTGGATTGACTAAAATTTGAAGTCTTGATCTTTTAAATGGCTGCTAATCTTAGATGCATATTTTTGCCTTCTTCTCAAGTGAATCTAAGTTTCTGGAAATTATATGCCTAGAGATTTTCTTTATTCAGAGTCACATGATTCCCCTTTCCCGGCTGTTGCTCTTTATGGTTTCAGTCTTCCTGCAGAGATATTGCCTCTGGCACTTGCTGCACCCAGCTCCCCTTTTGATGATGCTGTTGTGGCTTTCAGCAGCTTCACAACTATTTCCACTGTTTGAGTTTCTGATACAGAATTACAGCTGGCTACCACCTTCTTTTCTTTCAGGAAAGTTCTGAAAATGTTCTCTAGAAGTTACAAGTAGTTATCTATAGATATCTTCAATTGAGTGTGGTGAGGGGCAGATGTTCATTTGTCTTAAGAGATACTTCTGTTTCGTTTGCTTGTTGGTTTCTCAAGCCAACACACAAATTTCAAATAGCTGAGTGTGTTTGGATTTGCTGGCTACACCTGATAGCAGTTAGAGACAGTCAGAGCAATACACAGTGGTGTTTGAGGTAAACAGGAGTTTAAAGAGACATTCATGAAATTTTAAATACAGGTAAGGACTTGCAGCAAAAGTCTTTGGATCTTGTGACTAGGGAATCAGTTCTTCAGTGTTATCTAGAGGAGCCCATTAGGAAGAGCATCCGAATAGTGGTTTGGTTTTTTCCCTTCCTCTCTGATGGCTCTTGAACACACCTTGCATCAATTTCTTTGACTTTTATTTTGCAGTTCATAATAAGAGACTTCGAGAGCTGGAAAAGTTACCGTGGTTTACTTGTTCTTTTTTGTCTTAACAACTCAGAACATTCTGGTATTTTTTTTTAAAAAAAAAAAAGCAGGGGCCAGCTGTGTCTCCTGAAGTCATGCCATCTGTATCATCTTTCTGGCTGGGACTTCTGTCCTCTTTTTTTCCTGTCCAGGCAAATCCTCTGTAGAGAAAGAAATGTGTCTTTGTGCCTTGGAAGCCAACCACATCAAACAGAGGATCTGATAAATAGCCCTTTCTGATTCTTAATGCCTTTATCTCTTTTCCATGATTCTTCATATTTTAAGAAATGGTGATTTTTCTAATTTATTTTTTTTTAAGCTGGAAGCTTCCTATTTTCTAACAGTTTCTCAACTGGAAGCTTGAGCAATGCTTAACAGAAGATGAAGCAGAGCAGTTTCAGTTCTCCCCTTTCCAAGACAGAAAAACGTAAATTAATCTGAAAATGCAGTTTCTATTTTATATAAACATATATATCTGTATGAAAAAAAAATTGTCTAAGGTTTTTGTACCATACTGCAGTGGAAAGATGCTATAAATAATTTCCCTATGACTTGGCAACACTTTTGTATCTGAAAATTTTTTCTTTACATTTTTCTTGTCACTTTGGTGGAAACCTCAGAAATCATTCCAGACTTTTCTTTTTTTCCCAAGCCTTCTGGCCATTACCTTATACTTTCTACTTGATCAGTAACCTCAGACTGTTGAGGCTGATGGTCAGGAAATCTTCCCCTTCCCAAGACAGCACTCAGCAAAGACATTTACATTTCTAAATAGGTACTAAATTCTTAAATTTTCTTTTCTTTTTTCAGTAATAGGTATAATAGGTTTATTAATTGATAATATAGGTATATTAAGCGTCTATATTAAGTTATTAAGCACTGTAAAGTATTTGGCAGTGCCAGAAATTGTAGAACAAAATACCTGAGGCTACTGAAGAAATGTCTTTATTCTTCTGTTGATTCATCCAAGAAAAATAATTTGTTGTGCAGCGGTGAATATTATCAAATATGTCCCATTCCTGCCAGGCGCTGGGTGCCCTTCATTTCCTTTTGAAGCCAGAAGGGATTCAATGTGTTGCAGCTCAGGCTATGCTGAATACTAATGTCTTGTTATCTGGTAGATCATTAGTATTTATTTGTAAAATAGAAGCAAAATTAGTTTTGACCTTTAGAGCTAAGTCAAAAGGTTGATCTATGTCCATTTCCAATTTGGTACATTAATTGCTCCCTGTACTAATTGTGTCTAGGACAATAGTTTCTGTTTATTTCAGAGGTGAATCAAACTGTAGGTGATGCTTCGCATTCATAATTTTGTTCTGTTTGTTTTACTTAGAAGTGAATTCCGAATCACTGAATGTGTCTTCATGGGTTCTGTTTTTTGGAAAAAAAAAAAAAAAAAAAAAAAGTATTTCTAATGTTTTTTTCCAAATTAATGCATGCCTTCTGCCTAAAACTAGTGGGATGTGATATGCTTTATGATACGCAGAGGATAAAAATAAGTTTATGCATTTTTCAGTTACTGAGGTATTAGTATTCTTGGCAGCTCTGAATAGGAGGAAAAAATGCCAGCATGAAATTAATAACTGTTTTTGTTTCTTTTATAGCTACACTGTACACATCCTGCATTTTGTTGGGTATATTCCTCAACAGCAGCGTACCAATATTCTTTGAGCTCTTTGTGGAGACAGTCTACCCTGTTCCAGAAGGGATTACCTGTGGAGTTGTCACCTTTCTGAGTAATGTGTTTATGGGAGTGCTTTTGTTTTTCCTCACATTTTACCATACAGGTAAGAAATATAAGCCACTTTGAAAATGTAATTCTGTGTGAAGACATACCCGTGTCAGTAAAGGGAGCTTTTGCACATACGATTTCTGTTAATAATCAAATGTTTGGATCCCTATATGTAGCAGCAAGGGAGAAGAACTTTAATTACTCTTTTCTATATGATGCTAATAAAAATGAAATGCTGTAGTGCAAGATGTATATAGTCATACTCTACTTAGCATTTGCTGTAGCCAGAAACCATCAAGATACACCCTGTTGTCATATATTTGTAAAGCCCCGGGGTAACATGACCATTTATAACGTTTGCATCTATGGGTGTTCAAACCACAGTAAAGCTAACCCAGTCTCATGCTTCAGGGTGTAACAGTGTTGCCCAGGAGGGGCAGAGCAGAAGTGCCTCGTTTATGGTCAGTTCTGTTCAGTGGGTTGGACATACATTGCAGGGAGAGAGCATCACTTGACCACTGCTCAAAGGATGACAAAATACTCATTCCTTTAGATAATCTAGTGGCCTAATGAGGCAGAACAGTGTTTTGCGTGATGTTTTCATGAACTTCTCCAGACTGTCTCATCTCTCAAGTATTACTTGCTCCCTCATAATTCACGATCGTAACTTTCAACTCGCTGTTTAGTAGACTATAATATTTATTATTACTCTGAGCTGTAAAGTAAGAACCCATCTTGTTTTCAAAGGGCAGTGGTCTTTATGAATGGTTTTCAAAGATGCAGATTCTTGGGTTATATTTTGTGGTTGTGGCCAAGGTTTACTTCACGATGAAAGATTTGTAAAGCAAAGTTTTGCTTTGGAAGCATTAGAAATTGTGAACTTTTATATATTCCTATGAGTGCGTGTACTTCCTAAGATGGTGTGTTTTATAACCAGGAGACTGACAAATTTCAGAATGAATTGTGCTTGAAATTATGCAGGATATAGCCTGGGGCAGATTTTCATCGTGGTTTGTGTGTGTTTCTGCCAGGGAATCACAAGCAGGTTAACAACCCTGTTCCAGATTGTGGTCTGTGAACATTAACTGAGATTTTTTTTAATTTTTTTTTTTTTTTCAAATACTGACATTGAACTGCATGATTGTAAAATCTGAATTCCATCCCCAGTAGCCTCAGGGGGTGTGATATTTAGTCTTTATGTTTTAAAGAATGCTTTTATGATTAGTATTAATTCGTGTGAACTCTGTTCACATATACTATTATTTCCAGCATTTACACCTGAGCTGAAAAGATCAGTAGAATATTCTGAGAAATTTTTCAGCATTTTTCAGTGTTACAATTCAGTGCTTGGAATGTCTCACTTCTGACTGAAGAATTACGGTGAAGTGAACTCGTTTCCTCATAAACAGGAAGGGCCATTTTTTGTCTCTAGTATTTCTTTCCCTCGCAGGTATCAGTAAATGCAGTTAAGGATAAACCCAAAACTAGTATATCCATACACTTGGAATATTTTCCCTGTTTCTTCAAAGGAAAAAAAAATAAAGGTAGTTTGTGCTTAGGACAATCCATTCTCTGCAATGCTGTTTCACAGATGATCAAAAGTACAAGAGCTCACGTGGTCACCGCGGGGGTTCAATGCCAGTGGGTGCTATTGGCTCCTTTAATAAAAACATCCTCTAGAAGGCAGATAATGATCTGAAACATTTGCCTTTCATTTGATTCAAATGCATCCTATGATGGCATTCAAGAAGCTTACAGGTAAACCAGAACGTAGTCAAATTCATCTTGTTCCCTCAGTCTTGCTTTTTAGGCCAAATAATCTTTCACTAGTTTTAATTCTGATTTCTCTCTTTTTCTCCTCGTACTCTGATACTGCAAAGGCTGTGAAAGAGCCAAGCCCCAGAAACTTGCCAGTGCACTAAAGATTTTGGTCCAGGTAGCATGGTGGAGGTGTAAACCTCTCTAAAGCTCAGCCTCCCTGCTAGCGCTGTGCCCTGAGACCCAAGGCTGCAGCCTCTGGATGCGCTTTCCTTCGCCTTTCCTGCAGGGACTTCCAAGGGAAAAACGACAGTACATCGACCTTTAGCTTCACACGATCGATGTGTTAGTGTGCATCGCCAGTGCTGACACAAATTCTGGATTACAAAAGACATGAAGGATTCACAAGTTAAATTTGGTCTTTTGGGGTATTTGGGTTAAAGTCTGTTTAATCCAATTAAGCGAGAGCATTGTAAGGAAAATAATAGCGAAGCGTTTGCCTATTGACTTCTGGCATCACATAACACGGTATTCGCCAAGCCTAGGAAAATTTTACTAAGGTTTTAATAAGATTGCTGCCTAAACAAATCCATAAGGGGTTTTAGTGGATGACAGAGGGTGGTGTTGAAGGTTACTGGGTTTTAGGCTTTCTGACTTTTGTCCTTTGCATTGTGTAATATAGTTTCTGCTTTTTCTTTTAGCACTGTAAATTACAGATTTAAGAAAGTAGCAGTGCTGAAGTATTGATTTTGATTAACTCAGACCTTGAGGGAGAGTTTAGATTCTGTAAAAATAAATTAATAATAAAGGAGACTTGAAAAAAAAAGGAAAAAGGAGGAAAACACCATCTCCAGTAAAATTAATGTTTCTTCAGTAAATTGAGGGATTTTAAGAAAAGGAAATTATGGTGCACTCATTAAAAAACCTGAATAAAGCTGCTAATCAGTAGTCAAATATCTGATGATAGGATTTCTGAATGTGGAACGCAGGCTTTTAAGAGCAGTACATTATGTCTTAACATCTAGAAAGAGGCTTCCGAGGAGCTGTTTGTGCAACTAGTTTTAAATTGAATTGATTGTACTACTCACAGGTTTCTTCTGAGAAATTGGTTTTCCCTCCTTATCCTATGTAGCAGGTTTGATTCAAAATCAAATCCTGCTTCTTCTTACACTTTTAATTTGTTTTCAATCCATAGAAATCAAAGAACTAACGAGTAGAGTCTTTGGAAGTGGTTTATTCTCCATTTGCAAGGATAGATTTTATTTCCCCCCACTGCCCTCTTCTCCCCGTTGGCAGGTTGAATAAGGAAGATTAACATTAGCTGGAGGCATTAGTTTTATGTGTGTATATATATATATATATTCATAAGGCATCCATGGAGAAGTCTCATAGACCATGTTAACAATCTATCGATCAAGGGCTGTCAGGATTTTGTTCAGAACACAGCAATTTCCTTCAAACCCGCCATCAATCAAAGATTTGGTTGCTTTAAACATGGAACATGTTTGGTAACTCTGAGGTTGGGTCTGTTTTCTGCTTTACAGAGTTTTCCTGGTTCAACTGGTGCCTGCCAGGGTCGTGTCTGCTCAGCCTGCTCCTCATCCTGTGCTTCCGCGAGTCCTACGACAGACTCTATCTCGATGTCGTTGTCTCCGTGTGATAACGCTGGACTGGTGAGGGGTTGGAAGAGACTGGAAGTCGGTTTTGCAGTCTGCACATCTGCCTGGATTTGCACGGCTCAACAGTGGAAAAACAAATTACAAGACTTAATCGTGGCTTTATTAGAGCGGGTGAGGGAGAGGCTGTTCTTCTGTTCAAGACCACCTTGATTTGCGATAAACGTGGAACTTGAGTGGTGATAAAGATGCCGAAATGCACAAAGAGAATATATCTGATGTACAGGTGCCGGTGCCAGAGCTGGTGCTCTCTATTTAAAAGGCTGTTGATGTAGCAATGAGGTGTACAGTTGTGTGTGTGTGTGCGTGTGTGTGTGTGTGTGCTGACTCACGGTTACACGCACCAGGGTACCAGTAATCTTCAGAGTCTTCTATCAGAATAGAAATAGTGAATAATCCTAACCAAAAAAAAAAAGATAAAAGGAAAAAAAAAATCTTTTATTTTAAAGATCTCTCTATTAAATCGCTAGTCATTTGTATAATGAACGTCCATGAAGCAGTTAAGCTAAAACGATTTGGTGCCTGTACACTACATTTACATTCTAATAAAGTAATTTCTGATATAAGACACTGGTACCGGGGTTTTTAGCCATACTAAATATCCCAAACAATCTTTGCAGTGTTGTAGAGGAGTTTGTTGTCACCCTGGAGCACATGTAAACGATAGCTTTAGCTGCCACTGAAACCCAACTTGCACCACAGTCGCCTCTGAAATGCCATCTTGGTTCCGTATCTCCTGAATATGGAGCATCTGTGGTGTATCAGAAGCTTACTGGAGAATCACTCTTGGTAAATGTTGCTGTTTTAAAGGCCACCACTGTGTCACCTTTTCATCCCCTGTCTCCAGTACTGCCTTTCTTACTGTGAAGACCTGTTTGTGCCACCGAATACTGTGGGAGTGGGTGTGCGAGTCCCACTAGTTCTCTTCTGATACTCCAAGGTGTGCGTGGTTTTTAGGATTAGTTTATGATTGAGGGTGCCTAAACAATATTGTTTGTTGATCCAAGTCTTTAAAATCACTTTTTCCTAAAAAAATATTTCTAGTTAATGAGGCGCCCTGATGGCAAAATGACAACGAGTTTGACAATGAGAAATAACTCGTGAGTTTTGGCATAATATGGGAAATACAATGCCAGCTCTTTTTATCAGTACTAATCTGTGGTCGTTCTGGCCCTTACTTGAACATAAATATTAAAGACACTTTGAATAGTTTTTTAACTCAATTTTAAACCTGCTAAAAATTTCTTAATTATATTCTTAGACTTCAGCATCATTTACAGTATTTCCATGTGTGTGTTCTGTGCTTTGTGTTAGGGGGGTGGGTGTGTGTGTGCGTGCGTGCATATTTATATCTATGTATACACGAATAAAACTTATATATATGTCTTTTATATATAAGTTATATAAGGGTGTGTGTTTACATAGGTTTCTTTTAAGTAAGCCTGTCTCTGGATGGTGGTGTGCCACTGTTTGTAACTAAACCAGTCACTGCCGCGAGCGGGAACGCGTCCGTACGCTGCCTGCGACCTGATTTCTTTTCGGGGCTGAATGATCTCCTGTCGTAGCGATTTCATCGCAGGGGGTGCGGGTACCTGTTGGAGGGGGCTGGCGTGCGGGGTTCGGCGTCCGCAGGCGGCTGAATCGAACGCCCTTTGCTCCTGTGCGGGGCTCTTCTCTGCCGCCCTGGGGTGACACCACACTGTAAGCTCGCTCAAATGAACCCTGAACTGGGCGCTGCCGTTCAGACACGGATCCGTTCATTCTCTCTGCTCTCCTTCAGCAGAGAGAATATGCACTAATACCTTTAACTCAGGAGTGTATCTGTGCAGTAAAATAAAACAAGCTGTTCCCTGCTTTTATGTTTTCAGAGCAATGGGTGTATTTTCTGTAGTAACAGAAAATTGACTTTCCTCGTTGCCTATATCAGCTACTAAACGATCTTTTCTGTCTTGAAGCAGAAATGGAGCTAACCTACACTGGGGTGACTAAATCAATCTAACCAGCATGTTCAGATCCACTGGCATCATCCTCTTACCGGTTTTCAGATGAGTGGTATTAACTGTCCAGCTTCTTTTTACTATGTTTTTAGTGCCTGGAATAGTTTCAGTATCCAGTAGCTGCTGCTACCTATTGTCTTCTGAAACTAAGGATCGCTTGCCAAGAGTCTGATTGGAGTTGCATTGTCATGGCAGAACTGCAAGCTTGGATGGCTCTTCGGAGCTCTGCTTCTGCAATTTACTGTAGCTATATTAAGATTAAAATTGCACAGCCCAGGCACTGTCCCGAGTGACAGAGATTTCTAATCCTTTCACTGTCCCAGCTATTTTAAGATGGAGAAGCACTTCAGGCGGTGTCCAGACCGTAACCTATTCTGCCTCTGTTCCAGAAAGCATCAAACAATTCAAAATATTTGTCAGTGATGCCAGAGCAGACTGTCTGTACAGTCAGGGGAGAAGAGAGAACATCTTGGGTTTTTTTCTGAGTTGGTGTGAATTGCTCACTGCTCTCCTGAACTTTGATGCTTCGACAGAAGTTTCTGTGTGTGGTGGGCTGACCCCAGCTGGATGCCAGGTGCCCACCAA